TAACACCAAAAGGATGTTAACAGGGAAAACATGACACCAAAAGGATGACAAGCCTATCACCAAAAGGATGATAGTACATTCGCACACACTGCCCTGACATCAAAAGGATGTAAGGGATCCATTACCAAAAGGATAATGGAGAACAAACGCTAGTCATAACACCAAAAGGATGCCAGACCCATCACCAAAAGAATGATGGAGCGAAACAAGGCAAACCCGACACCAAAAGGATGTAAGGAGACCATTAACAAAAAGGATAATGGAGAACAAACGTTAGTCATGACACCAAAAGGATGATGGAGCGAAAACGCTAGTCATGACACCAAAAGGATGTCAGACCCATCACCAAAAGGATGATGGAGCGGAAACGCTAGTCATAACATAGATAGATCCTACAAAAAAAATGAATAAATTTTTTTTTATAATGTGTTAGAAAAAAATATAGACTATGCGAATTAAACACTTACATAAGTCTCAATGTTGGCGACGGTTCCTCTGTGCTTTCACCCATAGTCAATAGAGCCATCTTACAAATGAGATCATTTAAGAGAATGTGAAGAGTAGTATTTGTTGTTGATGATGAAAATGAACAGGTTTATGTCTATTTAAAGGGAACAGAAGATATTGCATAGTCTTATGTGATTAATGTAAGCCATGCATGCAGTATAGGTGGTGCCAAGTCAATTGGCGACAACGTTCATTTTCAAAAAGCATATCCAATTGACCCACGATGACTAATGTATGATAGGGTTTGTATGTTGCGCAGGCTGCATGGCATGGGTGTCTTGTCTTGTCTCACAAGCTTTGCAGACGCTCAGGCAGCTCGCACATGGCTATGCAGTAGCGCCAATAGGACTGGCAATGAATTTTAAATTTTTATAGAAGTCGTCAATTGACTTGGCGAATGTTATTAATTCTAAATGAATATGTCCAACTATATTAAAGTTGCATGACCAAATCAACACCAGATCATTCTCATATCAACCTAAACCAACACCATATCATTCTCATACCAAAATACTCTAGCTTTGTCATATGAAACAATATATATTATTAATGCTCACTACAAAGGAGAGACATATGTCTCTGATGTATCTGGGTTTGGTTTTCAAAACATCGAAGTTGTCTGATTTACAATCAATAGAAATTCAAAATTCTTGCATTTGAAAAATAGGTTAGAATCAAAACTAGGGTCTGGTCATATATCACAAATTATATATCAAAATCCATTTTTTTTTTAAACAACCATGTTTAAATTTATCCGCTTAAGATTCAAGATGATGAAGATGTTGAAAATATGCTTGTTAGTCACAAACGTTCTTGTCTCAAATAATTGATCAATCTGAACTAGCATATGTAGATTCAAACAAAGCTAAAGATGTAGATTTAGGTGAAGCTGAAGATGTAGATTCAAATTAAGTTGAAGTTGAAGTCGGTGTTGATGATGATGAAGAAGAAGAAAGTGAGATACAGGTCAGTTATTTGTTGAACACCAACACTAAAGACGACGATCATCAAGCGTCGTTGTCTCCAAGTCATGTATAATGTCCCCCTCAACATATAAAAAAATTGAACTTTGATGACGATGAGTCATCCTATGATATATTTTACAAGCCATATTTGCGATCAGAGGGTGAGTAAAAAGTGGAGATCGTTTCCGCACTAAAGAAGACTGTGTGCGAGATATCAAAAAATTTCACTTGGAAAACTCTGCTGATTAGACCATAGATCGCACTAACGTGAGAAGGTATGTCATTATTTTCCATTATGTGTTTTGCATGTTTCGACTGGTAGTGTTTTACAAGAAGAGAAGTGATTCATGGGAGATAAGTTTTATACATCCACCTCATACTTGCACTGCCACTAATATTTCACATGATCACCATAAGTTAAACTTTAAACTGATATGTCAAGACATTTTTCCTCTTGTTAGCAACGAATCATCAGTGAAGGTGAGTACATTAGTCTATTATATCGTTACACGATATAGTTATACTTCCTCGTACAAGAAACGTGGATTCCAAGTACAAAGGATGTTGAACGAGTATATAGAAATTGGGAGGGTTCGTACAAAGAACTTTCATAATATTTGGCAGCACTTAAAACATATGCTCTGGGAACTGTGACAATTTCGGAGACACGGTCGACATATACGCCAGATAGAACTTGTGTCGGTGAAAATAGGATATCACATCGACTCTTTTGGGCATTTCAACCATGCATAAAAGGTTTTGTGTTCTGCAAATTTGTTCTTCAAATTGATGGAACATGTATTTACGGGAAATACAAGGGCATATTACTTATGGTAGTGATACAAGACGACAACAATAACATATTTCCAGTTGCATTCACTCTGGTTGAAGATGACACTCTTGGTGGTTGGAGTTTATTTCTCAAGAATCTTAGAGCACGCGTTGGTCCACATCCCAACCTCTGTTTAATTTATGACATACATGCATACAATAATCTTAAGAACGGGTGGCAAAATTCTCGTTTTAGCCATGTCTACTCCATTACACATATTGCACAAAATTTCAGGCGAGAAATCAAGGATAGGAACCTTCGGGAAAAAGTTGTGAATGCAGGGTATGCTTTAATTCAACCATCATTATAACACTACTGTGAGGAAATTAGATTATCAAATGCAGATTCATTAAGGTGGATGGATGATATTCCATTAGAGAAGTGGATAACCTACCATCGATTGGGCCACATGACAACAAACCTTATTGAATCCATGAACGAAGTCTTCAAAGGAATTAGAAACCTACCCAATAATTGCGTTGGTGAGAGCAACCTATTTTAGGTTTTGATCACTTTTCACAATCAGAGGAAAAAATGGAGTTTGGTGTTACGGTCGTGGCTATTATTCAATGAAAGTTACATGAAAGTGATTAAGGAGGAAACTCTCAAAACTAACACACATGTCGTTACAATCTTTGACCATCATAGACGCACTTTTAGTGTAAAGGAAACAGTGGACCACAATTTGGGGAGGCCGAATGGACACTAACAGGTCCAACTGAATAGAGGTTGGGCGATTGTGAAAAGTTTCAAGCCCTCCATATGCCTTGCACCCATGTCACTGTGGCATGTTCATATGCTCGCCAAGAAGCTTCCAAGCATCTATCCAATGTTTAGAAAGTCATAAATATTTTCAATGTGAACAACAATAGCTTCCCGATGCTAGCATTGGAAGATTATTGACCTATATACCAAGGGGAAATAATTTGGCACAACGAAAATATGCGACAGAAGAAATATGATTTCCCTAACAACACGCAAATTAGAACATAAATGGATACGACTGATAAAATGGTAAGATTATATAGTATATGCCGTCAGTCCAGACACAATCGGACAAATTGTCTCAATGTTGGAGCAAGTTCTACATGATCGTTTATTTTTTGTTTAAATTTTTATAACCTTGTATTTAATACACACGCACGCGCATATATATATATATATATATATATATATATATATATATATATATATATATATATATATATATATATATATATATATATATATATATATATATATATATATATATATATATATATATATATATATATATATATATATATATATATATATATATATATATATATATATATATATATATATATATATAACACCCCTAAAAAACAGTTTCCACACACAAATAACACACAACGTAGCATACCAACATAAATACGCATAAAACAATAACACAAACAACAGAAAGAAAAGACTTAACACCACAACATGTCTAAGAGATTACAACAATCAAAACAATGTCATTTGTTGGAGACATCATATCCCTAACATCATTGTCATCTTTAACTCGCACCGACATACATTGCGTAACACTATTGTCATTTAGAATTGAGATGTACGAAACAAACCTCTCAATACTTATAATTTTTTCTCATCATTAATCTCTACGTCTAACCAACTTTTCAAACTCCTTTAAAGATGTTTGAAACTTTGGATGTTCCAAAAAAGTATTTTTGTCGGAGGTTTCGTAGCCGAATAACAACATACCCATATCTTTTAACAATCATGATAGAGCTAGTGAAGAAAATAAAAAAAGAATTTGAATGAGGTGTGAAGTGAAGAAAAAAAAAATTGAAACCTATATTATTTTGAAAAAGTAAGTTACTTGAACCATAAGTGTCTCATAACATTGTCAGTTTATTGATTGTATAAAGTTGAAAATAACTTGGCTTGGATTGTTGTTGGCCTGTAAAAGGATGTATAAATAACTATGAAGTACATAATAATTAAATATAATCACAAATATCAGTCTTTTTTCAAAAATATCGATACTACAAAGATAAATAAACAATTTGAATTTTAATGCTGATGTATTATGTATTTCTGTGTCCAATATGATTTGTACCTATGATACAAGGACACATTGTTTCACTAGTCCATATGAGAGACCATGCAACTTTTCTCTGTCACAAACTCACTCAATTGCCAACTGAGAAATTTGACACACATGTGTTGAACCAAATGACCAATACTCAGTTTGTCAGATTTGGTTTCCACAAATTGCATGTTAGAAACATGTCTAAAAAGTTCCACATATATATCCAGTACAAGGTACATCATGCATGGACAGACACATCACATGTATAGTCTGCAATCACAACAAAACTAAACTATAACTTTCAGTTCCATCAGGAATACACTAATTCACATCTGAATGCATCTTCCAAATATAATCAAGGCCTTTCCTTGCATGCATGTATTCAATAAAAACCTAATAACATAAGTGTCCAACTCAAATACATTTCATTACTAATCATTTGGACACATTAGAATGATGAAGATCTATCAATTCCTATTAATTCGATTTTACTTCGATACGCCACCTTCATCGTGTAATATATATTTCCTGATACAAGACTACTATTTAAAATCGTAACTTGTAATCCATCGCTTCCTCAATGAGAGTATCCATGACAGGTTCACATACTTGAAATCTTGATGGTTTGTTTCCCTCAGTTTTACTTAATTTCTCGAAGCATTTCAATTACGTTCTTCATTTTCGGTCGTTTGGCTGGTGTGCCGTCGGTGCAGAGCAACGCAACCTTTAGAGCAGCGAGCATTTCTTTCCTCCAACCGAAGGAAACTGTGCTAAGCCTTGCATCAAGTATCTGCTCTGGAGTTTCGCCTCTTACAGGAGCAGTTTGAACCCACTTCACCAAATCTACACCTTCGCCGAAATCTTCTTCAACAGGTTGTCGAGATGTAAGGATTTCCAACAAAACAACGCCATAGCTGTAAACATTTCCCGGTGCTGTCACTTGCATGGTATATGCATATTCTGCATAACAGGACAAAAGTATCATAATATGTGTGCATTAAACAAACACATTTAAAGTTAATAAGAAAGAAAATTTAGTTGGAAAATAGTAGTATACCTGGGGGTATGTAGCCGAAGGAACCGGCAACTGCGCTAATACTTCCGGTTCCTCTGGTTGGATCGAGAAGTTTTGAAATCTCAATCTCTCCGACCAATGGCTTGAAGTTTGAATCCAAAAGAACATTGCCAGAAGAAATATCAAGATGGATAATTGCCACATGATGAAGGAAAGCCAAACCTTCTGCGACACCTATGGCGATGGATAGCCGAGCTGGCCAATCAGGCTGATATTCGGGTTGCTTGGTAGATTCATGAAGAAGCTGAGACAATGTTCCATTAGGAAAATAATTATGCAAGAGAAGAGCAACATCTTCGTAAATGACATAGCCGATAGGTCGCACGAGATTATCGTGACAAACCTTGCTTAACCTTTCGAGTTCTCGAATCATCTTGTTCTGATGGTGGATTATTGTCTTGTCCACAGATTTCAGTCTCCTCACAGATAAAACCACACCAGAAGGCATGGTTGCTTTGTAAACTGAGCTGAAAGTTCCGCTGCTGAGTTTATTCGAGTCTTTCAGTGTTGCATTAACAACGGCGTCGAGGTCTATCGCTTGCTGTAGATTATCGACAAAAACCGTCCCTGCTATGATAGTTGGTTTGTCATCGGTTGGATCATCAACAATACCGGCAGCCTCTTTAGCTGCTTTTTCTTGCCTCTCTCTGATCATAAACAGCAAGACAACTATAGTTACCGATGTAAAAACTGCCAAACCAGAACCGATAACTGCCAATACGATTCTGTAAGAAACCTTGTGATGGTAACTACCATGATCATCATAAATATTTCCACATGAAGTGTTCAATGGATCTCCACAAAGCCCTTTATTCCCTACAAAACTCGAACTAGGACTCTTCTGGAAAGGTACAAATGTTGGTACAGGGCCTCCAAATAGATTATTTGAGAAATTCACCTCTATCAAGCTCAACATTCCCTTAAGCTCGGTTGGGATATTACCTGATAGACGATTATTTGACACATCGAGAGAAACAAGTTTGTCCAGTTTCCCCAATTCTGGCGGTAGTGGCCCGTGGAGATGATTGAAGCTCAAGTTCAAAGCTATCTGTAAGTTCCTGATGCGACCGATCTCGGGAGGAATAGTTCCAGTCAAATAATTACTCCCCAATTGTAATTCAAGCAGTTTTGCACAACTTCCAATTTCATGAGGGATCTCTCCTCTTATGGAATTCAGATTCAATAACAAGTACTGCAACCGAGAAATATTGCAGATTTCGTTCGGTATCGTCCCATTGAATCTATTGTTGCTAATATCAAGCTTGTTGAGACTCTTACAACTGAGAATTGGTTTTGGAATATCACCAAATAGGCCATTTCCAGACAAAATCAATTCCTGAAGATTCATAAGTTGTCCAAACTCTTGTGGAATCGTCCCAGAAAATCCGTTAGAAGCTAAATTCAAGAGAGTGAGATTAGAACACCGCGCAAACTCCGACACTAGCTCACCAGAAAGATTATTATTATCGGCTTCGAAATATGTCAGGCTACTAAGATTTCCAATGGTCTTAGGAATATTACCTACAAGATGGTTGTTTCCGATTCTAACGCTTGAAAGGGCACGACAGTTTCCAATTTCCTCCGGAAGATCGCCACTAAAATTATTCTGGGTAAGAACCAGAACTTCTAGCTTCCCCGAAGCGAAAATGCTTGCTGGTATTGGTCCTTCAAGCTGGTTAGAATGCAAGTTAAGTATCTGAAGTTCAGGAATCAAGCCTAGATTATCTGGAATCCTACCATCTAAGCGATTCTCATACGCCGAAAAAACTCTCAAATCGGTTAAATTCCCCACCCAAGAAGGTATAAAACCACTCAACTGATTACTAGAAAGTTGCAAATCCTGCAATTTCTTCAAACCATGAAGTTCCATTGGCAACTCACCAACAAGCAAATTATTAGAAATGTTAAACGATTTTAAGCTTCTGAGATCACCAAACTGTGACGGAATTGAACCTTCAAACTTATTAGAAGACAAATCTAGAATTTCAAGCTCAGACAAATCTCCAAAAGCAAGAGGAATCAATCCACCAAAGTTATTATTAGAAAGATCAAGCAACTTCAAACTTTTGAGCTCAGATATTAAACTCACATTACCTCTAAGGCTTCTGTGAGAAAGATCAAGCTTCTCCACCAATGAATGATTGTTGCATAAAACCCCTCGCCATGTACAGTAATCAGAAATGTTTGCATCACTCCACTCAGGAACTCTAAGCTCTTGGTTGATGGCATGTAGTATAGCTTGGTCTTGTAACTCAGCACCAACAAACTCACCAACTGAAAGATACAAACCCAACACAATATACAACAAGCACATAATTTCCATCACTATTGTTCTTTTCACTAAAAGAACATACTTTTCTTCAACCCTTTTTCTTTATTTCACAAATGTGAGGATTTGAAACAATGTTGCTGCTTCCATCACTTGCTTCAAGTGAAAAATGTTTAGAATCTTTCAGACCTGAAATGCAGCAACCCAATATCAAAAATCAAATTTTTAAGAATACCCATTTGAGATTTGTGTAAAATTATTATAAAAGTATCCATTTTTAACTAAAAAGTTATCATTTTCAGGAGAAGCTAAAACAAAAAGTATAAAAAAAACAAAAGGGGTGTGCTGTGAACATGTGAAGTGTAAGTTGCATACTTTGTAACAGAAGATGAGATAAGTGAAAGTGATTGTAGCTGAAAAGTTGTAACCTCTTTGGTGTGAGGAAATGGAAGAGATGAAATGAGAGAGAATAGTAGAATGATATTTAGTAGTGTAGTAAAGTGTGGTTCACGGATGATTGAGAAAAGAGAGAAGATAGATTGTCGTTGGGAAGAGAAAGAAAGGAAAAGAGAGAGTGTGATGTAGGAAGAGAGTTTCACGAGAAATGGGCAGTGAATGAAAGCTGCATAAAACTCCTGTCTGTCTGACCACTGTGGGGTATACTTCAACATAGATGTTTGTATTTGTGTTTGTGTTTTCGAGCATAATAATGCTACTCCCTCCTATTGCATAGGGCTCCATCAATTATAAATTATGAAAAATCAATTGCTAAATTAAGTAATGGAAATGTGGTCGTTAATGAGTTTTACTTTAGAATTGTTTCTATTCCATACTAAAATAGAAAATGATAGAATTCTTCAATGATAAAAAAATTATATAAAAGGTTAACATTTTTACCTCTAACTTAGTATTTGAGAGAATTAAACTATATAAGTGTTAATATGGATGTGAAGTTAGTATTTAAGAGAAGTAAACTATATAAGAGATTGTAGTCAATTACTCCGACATAGGAGATGAGAATGAAAGTTATATTCTTTTTTCATGTCTCAAAATACATTTATTTGTCAAATGATGGGCCTGTCGGTTAGATTGATTATTTAAATTTGGTCGATTTTATTAAATTTTTGATCAGTCTAAAAACGTGATATATATATATTATTATAAATTACGACAAAATTCAATATCAATTTGTGAGACAAAGAACAATAGCAATCAAAATAAATGGTTTTCAGCTAACACCCTTCTAAACCCCACGAAATATATATAAATAATCAGAGTAAATCATCATGCATTCACACAAAGGTGTCACGCATAATACTCAAAACATCAAAAACACCTGTCATGCTCATTAACACTTTAATAAATAATCATGTTTTTCAAAATTTTACTTCGCATGTAGCAGCGGGTTCAATTTATATCATAATTCTCTTAACGGAAACATTCGTATTCATCACATAATTCAACATTACTTAGGCACTAAGGCCAACATCATAATATTCCAATGAATATAAAAACATAGCGTAGAGTACATAAAGTATCTCTAAAACATAACCCAAACGATCCCAGTGTTACATGACCAAAGCATGACTCGACCCAACATAACTAAAATACTAAATAGTTACACCAATAGCGACCACGCAACTGCGAGCAGCTCTACTCTTGATACTTGCACGATGTCAGATAAGACATCATTCCAGCAGAAGGGTGAGAATTCACATCAATATTGAAATCATAAGATAATAAATAATGTAAAGCATGTCAGGACAAACACCAATATTCTCACACTTCAATTTTCATCAACCAATATCATTCAACAACTGTACATTCACAAATCTCAATTCAATAAGTCATACACATGTACATACTTTCATATAACAATCATATATTCACAACTCCCAGTTCAACAAGTCATACACATATGCATACTTTCATATAACAATCATATATTCACAACTCCCAATTCAACAAGTCATACACATAGGTATACTTTCATATAACAATCATATATGTCATGTGACTCAATGCAATTCAATGCAACTCATGCCATGTGGTACCAACACTTATTATTTTTCGGTTTTTACATTTAAACCGGGTTCGTTCTCTATACCAATAACAAACAAAAGCTCGTTCCCTAAGCTTTCAAACCCCGCTCTAGGTTTGGGACAAGTCACTAGTCTCCACGAAACTAGCAAGCATTGCCTCTTGACAACAAATGATGCATATGCAATCAACAATCAAATACACTTAAGACCATTCTCGCATCTTAATCCCATGCATTCTCAAATAATTTATCACACAAGAATTATAACATGATTGCACACACAACACATTTCATAATAATCCAAGTATTCATACTTTCACACATCATCGTTACATTTATCAAGTAGTACACAAGAATCAAATAGATTCAATCACAATTCACAATACAACTCAACGGTCACACATAGGACAATCATTCCATCATAAATAATTGAATTCAATATTCAATACACAATCAACTTGTTAAACAACAATTGATATCTCAATAACCAACTGAAGGTTTACAATCAATCAATAATTCATCTCAATTAAACCATGTTTTAGTTAAGATTTAATTAAACAATGAATTCCCAAACATATTGGATATAAAAAATATTTGGCAACTAATTATATTATCTATACTATGTTATAGATCTATTCATTAGATTTCCAACGCCTCGAACGGGGACTAAAATCGACTTACGGGTTAAAAGTTATGGCCAAAATCGTCAGAATAGAAATTTCCAATTTTCAGCTTTTATACAGCATGCAATCGATTGTTGTATTAGTGCAATCGATTGCTTGACCCAATTTTTCACATTTTAGCCTCTGTTTTGCTGTGCAGTCGATTGCTGTACTAGTGCAATCGCTTGCTTACTGTGTGTTTTCTAAAAATTATGCAGAAAATGGTATTTTTCACCAACCCTTCCCTCTTTGCTACCACAGTCAATCCCCACATGTCAGGGTATTCACCAAACTCGAAAATCCACTAAATCATGAGAATTCTATGGGTTTTCTTCCTACATAAACTTCTACTCATTCACCATTAATCCACAATTTCAAATCTAGGGTTTCCCTACATAACTTCTACCCATTAATCATTATCCCAAAATCCCAATAATAAGAGAATGTCCACCCTTACCTTAGGTTTTTCTTTGGGAAGAATTCTTGATTCTTTGAATGCTTGAACTCTGAATTTTTCTCTTCCACTCTTCTTTTCCTCTTGCTCTTTCTCTTCTCCTCTTCTTCTCTTCTATGTTTTCTATTCTCTTTTCTTTCTTCTTCTTCCCCCTCTTACTAACTTCTCATCCCTAAAACCCTAACTTTAAGTTATTGGGCCTAACCCAATTCACTTACTATTCACACTCCCATTAAGCCCAACTAAATAATCTAGCAATTACCCACTATTCTACCAAATAGAATAAATCAATTAATTTAATTAATTCCATAAATCACACATTTAGATTAAATTAATTAAATCAATTAACTCATTTAAATAAATTAAATAAATAAAGTAATTCATTTAAATCAAATAAATCACATATTTCAATTAATTAGTACAAATACTTAATTATTAAAAATTGGGCTGTTACAACCCTCCCCCACTTAAAAGATTTTTGCCCTCGAAAATTACCTTAAACAAATAACTCAGGATAAGACTCCCTCATCTGACTCTCAAGCTCCCAAGTCACACTCTACCAGCTGGTCTTCCCCAAGCGACCTTCACCAAGAAATCTCTTTACCACGAAGTTGCTTCAACTCCCGATCCTCTATCTGCATAGGTGATGCCTCCACAGTCAGGTTATCTCTCACCTGCACATCATCTACTTGGACTACATGAGACGAATCCGCAATGTATTTCCTCAACTGAGATACATGGAACACGTCATGGAGATTAGCGAGCAACGGGGGTAAAGCAACACGATAGGCTACCTCTCCTATCCTCTGTAAAATCTGATAAGGACCAATGAAACGCGGTGTCAACTTACGCGACTTCAATGCCTTACCAACACCAGTCATAGGAGTAACTCGAAGAAACACATGATCTCCCTCTTGAAATTCAAGTGTTTTCCTCCTCTTGTCGTGATAACTCTTTTGACGACTCTGAGAAATCTTCATCTTCTCCTGAATCATCTTAATCTTATTAGTGATCTGTTGGACTATCTCGGTCCAACCACGACACTTTCTCCTGACTCATACCAACACAATGGCGTCCTACACCGTCTACCATACAATGTCTCAAACGGTGTCATACCAATACTCGAATGAAAACTGTTGTTGTAAGTAAACTCAATCAAAGATAAGTAGCTATCCCAATCTCCTCCCTTTCCAAACACACAAGCTCTCAAAAGATCCCCAAGTGACTGAATTGTCCTCTCAGTCTGACCATCAGTCTGCGGATGATAAGCAGAACTCAAACGTAACTTCGTACCTCAAAGCACTTTGCAAACTCTCCCAAAATATCAAAGTAAACCTCAGATCTCTATCTGACACAATGCTAGACAGAATACCATGCAAACTGACAATCCTTTCAATGTACAACTTTGCCAATCTCTCCAACGGGTAATCCATTCGCATAGGAATAAAGTGAGCAGATTTAGTCAATTTATCCACGATAACCCAAATAGCTTCAAAGTTACTCGGTGTTCTAGGTAGACCAGATACAAAATCCATCAATATGTTATCCCATTTCCACTCAAGAATAGATAACGGTTGCATCAAATCTGACGATTTCTGATGCTCAATCTTCGACTTCTGATAAGTCAAACAGGAATACACAAACTCGACAATGTCTTTCTTCATACGAGGCCACCAAAATACTTTCCTCAAATCTTGATACATCTTAGTAGCACCCGGATGAATACTCAATACACTACGATGCCCTTCTTCAAGAATACTCTTCTTCAGCTCAACAATATCAGGAACACAAACTCTATCACGACATCTCATGATACCATTTTCATCAATCCAAAAATCACCACCTTGACCTTGATTGATCAAAGTCAGCCGATCAACTAAACCCAAATCAAATTTCTATCCTTTTCGAATCTCGTCAAGAATACCACTAGTAAGCTCCAACATACCCAACTTAAATCCATAAGATGTATCTCACACACCAAACTCAAATCACGAAATTGCTCAATCATTTCCAACCCTTTTACCATCATCATCGACATATGCAAAGATTTCCTACTCAATGCATCAACTACCACATTTGCTTTACCCGGATGGTAATTCAAACCAAAATCATAATCCTTTAGAAGTTCCAACCATCTCCTCTGCCTTGCATTCAATTCTTTCTGATCAAAGAGATACTTCAAACTCTTATGATCACTATACACTTCAAATCTCGTACCAAACAAATAATGCCTCCAAAGCTTCAGCACAAATACAACGGCGACCAACTCTAAGTCATGCGTCGGATAATTCCTCTCATGCACTTTAAGTTGCCTTGAAGCATAAGCTACAACTTGTTTATTTTGCATCAACACACCTCCTAAACCCATCAAATAAGCATCACAATACACAACAAACGGTTCTTCAGGATTCGGCAAAACTAAAACAAGAGTTGTCGTCAATCTTCTCTTAAGCTCTTGAAAACTTTCTTCACACTTTGCATCTCAAACAAAAGCTTGACCCTTCCTAGTCAACT